TGGCGGCGGTGCCTGGATCCTGGAGCTGGTGAGTCATCTCTGGCACCCGGGCACCGGGCAGGTGGGCAAAGGGGGGCTGGCAAGGGAGGGAGACGGGGGGCTCAGCTGTGAGCCCCCCGCCGCACCAGAGGGCTCCTGCCTGGGCCGCTGCACCCGGGGCCAGGAGCGCAGCCTGGAGGCTGCTCCAGCCCTGCAGCCCACAGGGCAGCGCGGTGGGTCCGGGCGGGGGCAGCGCAGAGCGGGCAGGGGCTGGGTGGGCGGCGTGGGGGCATGGGCCGAATCCCTGCTGCTGCCGGGGAGCCCCGCACCTCTCCCTCCCGCTCGCGGCTGCGGCTCCTTCCCAGCGGGAGACTAGGCATGGGGGACGCGCGCCGCATGTGGCCGGGGCGGTGGGAGGCGCATCCCGCTGGGAAGGACCCGCAGCCACGAGCAGGAGGGAGAGGCGCGGGACTCCCTGGCAGCAGCGGGGATTCAGCCCCGCCACCCAACCGGCTCCTGCCCGCTCCGCGCTCCGCGCTGCCCCCACCCGGACCCACCACGCCCCGCATATGCCCGTGGCGGGCCGGGGGGCGGAAGGCTCTGTGGGGAGGGCAGCGCGCGGGGCCAGGGCCTGCTAATGCTCCAGGCCCCTTTTAAACTCTCAAACTCCCTTTTTTTTTTGCTCTGCCCCCCCCCCTTTTTTTTGCTACCCCGCCATCCCAATATTTTATACTGCTAATCTGGTCACCCTAATTTGGCTGCACAGCTTAAATCCAGAGCTAATAAAAGCCAGTGGAAGGAGAAAACTCACTGTCACATCTGTTTCTCTCCTCCCTCCTCCTCCAGCTCCAACAACTGTGAGTGAAATTAACAAGGATGCCAGAAATGGCCCCTAAACCCCCGGGGTTGAACCAGGGAGTGAACAGCTGAGTTTAAACTGTTCCTATGCAGGCAGCAGGCGTCCTGCGTCAGGACGCTGGGCTTTCCCCTCCCTCCCACCCTGCCTCAGGACAGCGCCACTCCCTGGAGACAGGGCTGCAGGGCACATCTAGGAGACTTCACTGCCGGCATCTTCCAGATCTGCCCAACTCCTGTCCAAGGTGCCTGGTCGCTGTTGGAACCAGGGGGTCTTCAAGCATCAAAGATTTACAAACAATGAGATGCGCTAATGTCCTGCCCTCCCTTCTCCTCCCTCAAGATTTGACTCCTGTTGATGGACCATTGTTTCCTTCACAAGGATGCCCCAGGCACAGAAATCTTCCATGGCCAAGGCAGATTCTTCATCGTCCATGGCGAGCTGGGCTGCTACCTGCGGACAGAGGATCCAAAAAGCGGGACCAGTATCAAGATCTGGAGACTGCCCCCCGGGTGCCAGGGTGGGGATCACTACCTGGGTGCCCATGAACAATCCAACGTCAACATCATCAAGGGTGACTCCGACCGATGGTGAAGGACTTGAGCACAGACGGTGAGGCCGAGGTCCGTGAGCTGCATTAGAACTGCCGCGGTGGGGACCACTACACGCACTGTGTTTTCTTTTTTTTCATCATCTTCCTAGAGCGGCGGTTATGCGCCAGGTCCTTGACCTGAGCACAGCTGAAAAAGGGGATGTCACTCCCCTGCAGCTGGAATGCCACAAGGGGCTCTGTTATTTTAGCATCTCTGTCACCCCACCCCTGATCCAGGTGGATGAGAAATGGGCGGCTCAGTGCTACTTGTACATGACATGTGCAGCTCGGTTCCCCCAGTCTACTTCTCCATCCACCCCAACATACTCAACTTCTTCCCTGGGGGGTGGGCCCTCACCAAGGGCGTCTCAATCAGCGGCTGGGAGTGCATCAAGACCCTGCACAACGACTCCGATTCCTCCATCACCTGGTCTGACAAGGTCACCTGCAAGGTGGGCTACGCCAAGCACCAGAGGTCCAGGATCGAGCACAATTGGAGCATCTCCGCTGAGCTGTCCCTTGGGGCCGGAGCCCTCACCAAGCTCATCATCCAGTTCCAGTTCTCCTTCAGGGCCGAGCACGGTGGGAGAAGCATCCACATGGAGCAGGAGGACTGGAACGAAGCCTCAGAAGAAGAGGAGTCAATTCAGGTGAACCTGGAGTGCAATCAGAACCTCTACATCTGGCAGTACCGCCTCTGCATAGGCCACAAGCCCGTCTTGTTCTGCAGGGACGTCCATTTCACCAAAGAAAACAAACCACCCAACTGCATCCCACTGCCTCCAGTTCCCTAAGCATCCAAAGAGGATGGAGAACTCCAGCACTACCAAGATGCTATTGTTGACCTGTGTGTGTGAGCGTTGGCCTCCTGGAAATGAATGGGATCAAATCAGCCCCTTCAAATCCATACTTAGCGCTTCCCAGCGCACTCCTCCCTGCTCGCAAACCCAGCTCATCTGCTTCCCCTCCCCCAGCTTCTCTGCAATTGTGTCACCGGGGCAGGTGATTTCCTGGCATGTTCTCTCTGTCTTCTCTTGCTGTAACCCGCAGCCTGAATTCTGCTTTGGGATCATTCTGGGGTTGGATCTGCTGCCGAAGCACAAAGAATTAGTCGAGCCTGGATAGATCATTGGTTTTTTTCAGCATTCCCCAGGTTGCTAGGGTGGAATTTCCTTGAGTTTCTCCTTGGCTCAGGGTCTGTAGAAGGGTAAAAAGCAGGAGGGAGCCGGGATGATCGTAACTGTCTTTGTACAGGGCTGCAAGTGCTAGCAGCATGTTGAGCTGCGTTGATTTAATTCTTTAACTTTTGTCCCCCCGAGTTTACCTAGAGGGGAAATGCCCTGTGTCCCATTCCCGCCTCCCTGAGCCACCAATCCCCCCGCCCTGGAGTTGGATGGGAGCCAGCGCCCCCTAGAGGGGAAAGGCCCCATGACACAGTCACCGACCCTCACAACCTGGAGAATGTATAGCCCCAGTCGGTTACGTCCTGCTCCACCTGAAATGGCCGCTTGGTCCTGATTGGCTTCTGCTCACTCCCGGCCATGGTAGCCACTGCGGGACTAAGTCTGAACTCGCTGCTCTTCCCCCCAGTCAGGAGAGCTTCTTGGGGCATAGTGCCCCCACATGCCAGAGCCCCCAGCAGGGGCTAGCCAATGCCTGGCACACCCTATAATAGAGCTTGGGGCAGGGGACACACAAGGCGCAGGTAAGGGGGAGGTACCCAGGCAGTAAACCCATCTCATCCCCGGTGAGCCTTTCCCATCCCCCTCCCCCTGCATCTGCCCTGCTGTCTCCCTCATGAGCCCCCAGCATGGCGTTATTAGTGTATCACCACTGGACAGAGCTGGGGGGGAGGGGGCAACAGGAATGGGACCCTGAGAGCCATGGGGACAGGAATGACCTGTGGAACTCACTGCCACACAAATTTAACAGGCTCAAGGGCCAATCAGAAGTTCGTGGGGATCACGGCCAGCAAGGCAGAGGAGCCATGTGCCGGGGCGGGGGAGCCAGGGTGAAAGCCTGCAATTCAGGGCATGGCCCAGCAATAAGGGAAGGGGAGCAGGAGGGAGTGGCCCCACTAGGGAGGTTATTGCACAAGTCTCCACCAGGAGGTGCCACTCTCAAAGGCCAGGCTCGATGGGCCCTAGGGATCCTTCAGCAACAGCGCAGCTGTAGGGCAAGCAGGGCAGAATCTGGGCCAGTCACCTCCCAGCCAGGGCCGGCTCCAGGCACCAGCACAGGAAGCAAGTGCTTGGGGCGGCACGTCCGGGTCTTCGGCGGCGGGTCCCTCAGTCCCTTTCGGAGGGAAGGACCCGCCACCAAATTATGAAGCGGCGCGGTAGAGCTGCCGCCGAAGTACCGCTGATCGCGGCTTTATCCTTTTTCTTTTTCTTCGCCGCTTGGGGCGGCAAAAAAGCTGGAGCCGGCCCTGCTCCCAGGTGTATTCCAGCTCCGCGTGACTCACGTCCAGAGCCAGGGAGAGACCCCAGGCCGCCTGACCCCCCAACTACTAGACCCCCTCATCTCATAGCAGGGGAAAAAACCCAGGAGTCCTGGTCCCAAAGGCCCCCCATACAGACACACACTCTCCAACCACAAGACCCCACTCCCATCCCAGAGCAAGGGAGAGAACCCAGGTGTCCTGGTCCCCAGCCACCCCCGGCTCTAATCACTAGCCCACGCCCTGTCCCAGCCAGGGAACAGAGAACCCAGGCGTCCTGCCCCTCCCCACCAGAAACCCGTCCCGGCCCTTTAATGGCTGTGCAGTTGGGAGGAGCCGGGCGGCCGCTTCCCCTCCCCGTTAGCTGCGACTTCCCGTTTGGGGCGGGCCGAGCGGATCTCCGGCCCGGGCTCGGCTCCGGGCTCCCCGCGCCGGCTGGAGGCGCAGCCCTTGGAGAGGGGCGCACGGCCGCGTCTCCGCTCCCAGCGCCGGTGAGATCCGGGGACCGGCCCCCCCTTGCGGGCTGCCCCATCGCCCCTTCCCGGGGGCTCTGCAAGTGGGGCCTCTCCAGGGGGGTCCCCCCTTCTGGGGTGGGGGGAGCAGAGGCCGCGCTGGCCTGCTGGGTACCCGCGGTGCCCGGTGCAGAGCCAGTTTCCACACACACCCCCACCCGGGACCCAGGCCTCCTTCCCCCTCCCACACCCAGGGCCTGGCCCCTCTTGGTGTGACTCCCCCACCCGCATCCTCCCCCCAACCCCCCTATCTGGGGCTAGGCTGATTCTCCCCAACCCTGTGCCCTGGGCGGTGGTGCCCTTCCCACCCTCCACACCGCCAGGGTCCGGCTGGTCTTGGCCTGGCCTGTTTCAGTATGGACCCCCCCTCACGCTCCCCCTTTGGTGTCCCCCAGGCTCTCAGCCCCCCCATGGCCGGGATTGCCCCACGGGCACATTCCCCTGGCACCGATGTCTTCGCCACCCCTCATGGCTTCTTCGTCGTCCGCTCCGACGTGGGCTGCTTCCTCCAGGCGCCCGAGTGCCACTCCCCTGAAGCCGTGGAGATCCGGGACCTGCACCCTGCCTGCCGGGGCGGGGAACACTATGTGGGCGACGACATCGGCTCCGCCGTCTGTATCCTCCGGGGACACGCATTCCACCGAACCACGGACCTGAGCACCGCCCCCAGCCCTGACGCCCTCCCCCTGCACCCCACATGCCGCGGCGGAGACCACTATGCCTCGTGGGGCAGCCGCTTCTCCATCATCTTCCTGGCCCGCGGCGTGGTTCTGTCTGTGGCTGACCTGACCACAGGGGCTGAAGCAGAGGAGATGCCCCTGGAGCCCGCGTCCCGCCATGGGCTCTACTACTATGCCCCTGATGCAACCCACCTGGCTTTCCTGGGTGTGGACGAGCAGCGGGGGCTATACAGCCAGCTCTTCTCTAGCTCGGGCCACCAGGAGGTCCTCCCCGTCCACGCGGACGTGGCCAGCTTCCTCCCCGGCGGCCTGTCCCTGGTCCACAGGGGCACCTTCGGGGCATGGGAATGCGTCAAGCTGATCCAGAACGAGACGGACGGGCCGCTCCCCGGCAGCCACGAGATAACCCGGAAGGTCGGACGCGTGGAAGAGAAATTGGCCAACTGGACCTTCTCCACGGCCGGTTCCCCGGCCCCTGCAGACCTGTCTGTGGCCTTGCTCCAGGCCCAGTTCTCCCTGCCCCCCGTGTATGGTGGGCTGGGGCTCAGGACGGAGCAGGAGGAGTGGGAGGCCGTGGCCGAAGAGGGAGAGGAGCTGCGGGTCATTCTTCAGCCCCGGCAGAAGCTCTACTGGTGGCAGTATCACCTGGGCTTGGGGCACCGGCCTATACTCTTCTGCCGCTGCCTCAAGGTGACCCGTAGCCCCGCGTCACCTGCCAACCTCCCGCTGCCCTCGTCGGACTCGGGGGACGCTGGCATCTGACTGGGGAAGGGAGGCTGGCGGTGGGAGAAAGGTTAACGTTGTTGCTGAATAAATGATGTTCTGTTGTACTGGCGGCGGCTGTCTGTGGATGGCTTTGGGACCCCACCCCGCTCCCTCCCAGGGTGGGGAAATTGAGGTACAGAATGTGTCAGGGGAGGACACAGAGTTGTGGCTGCCAGCCCTTTGATCTAACCACTAGACCCCACTCCCATCCCGGATCTGGGGATAGAACCCCAGAGTCCTGACTCTCAACCCCACCCCCATAACCACTAGACTCGACTCCCCATTCAGAGCCAGGGAGAGAACGCAGGAGTCCTGAAGGCCAGCAACACGTTTTTCTTTCTTCGAGCTTCCCTAGTGTCCCAGGCAGGTATTGCACCCACAAGACAGGTTCTACCACTGCGCTATCCAGGTCACAGGGGGTCTGGGAGTACGGGGGAAAATGGGGTTTGGCCCAACAGGGACCCCCAGGTGACAACTGAGCTGCGGGACCCCATGGAAGCGGTGTGTGTGGGCGGGGATGGCAGCCTGGGAGAGACCAGGGATCAGTTTGGGGGAGGTCATGGCAGTGGGAGCTCAGGAGGTGAGGGACATGGGGGATCTGGGGAAGGCCAGGGAAGGGTCTCTAGGGGAAGTAGTGCTGCTATTCCTGTGACCTTGTTCAGCACTAGAGCCAGTCGCAAACCTTCAACACAATTTGGAATGTTCGTCTCTGTGACTTGGTTTCTCTGGCTGTAAAATGGGGTGAGGATCCCACCTATTGTCTAGTGAGACTAAGATCGTTGGGGCAGGAACTGATTCTCACGAAGGGTCTGTGCAGTGCCTGGCATGGGCCCCGATCTCAGTCGGTATGATAGGGGCCCCGATCTCAGTCCGGGTATTCTAGGAGTTACCACAACACAAATAATTTGCCACTCTCTCCATCCATCTCCATTCTTACCTCTCCATCCATCCCATCACCGGGCCATTTAGCTCCCTTACCCTCCACCCGGTGTTCAAGTATCTCCATCCCATCTAAGCAGGGCCCATCAGGTGGGAACCATGTGCCAAGGGGGGCATGGGGAGCCCTTACTCTCTGGCTCTCTCCAGGGACACACAATGTCCCGTCTGACTAGGGCACTAGGTTTGTCCTGGGAGCTGGTTCCCTCCCATGTCTCCTGAGGAGGGGAGGGGCTCAAACTGAGAACCCCCTAGGTGCCCCATCCTGGTGTAGTTTCAGCTCCCCCAGAGTCAATCCAGAGTCACTCCCAACTGCACTGGGATCAGGGCTGGATTCAGATCTCAGCACCCCTCTCCCCCACCAGCATCTATCTGGAATCACTCATTGACTGCAATGGTGTTGCTCCAGGTTTACACTGGAGTAGAAGTATCCGGGACATGT